GATTCAACAGACAAGCCGGTCAGGCCCCCTCACCAGTATCGACTTGCCCACGGCGCCCTCCCGGTGGCTGCCCTCCACCAGCTGGCCGTCCTTGAAGACCATCAAGGTGGGCAGGCCGTACACCTGAGCGGAAGCCGGGTGGGCGCGGCGCGCGCACACGCGGGCGTCTTGGATCGGGCGTGCGCGCGCGGAAAAGGCCGGATACCCGATGCGCCGCCGGCGGCGCTCGGAGCAAAGGCGGGGCCAGCGGCGGGCGCAGGTGCCGCTTCGAGGGGCCCGTCAGCGTGCCAAAAGGGCGGCGCGTGGGGCGGGCCGGCTGGCTGGCCGGCTTGCGCTCCACCGGGGCGCTGGCGCAGTTGGTTCGGTCGCTGAGTTGCATATGCATATGAAACAGAGTCAGTCGGCTGACCTTGTACTTGGCTACAAGCTCGGGGTTGGGTGTGTGGTTGACCTTGACCACTTTGAGGCGGCCTTCATACTCCTGCGGGCGGCGGTGTGGATGCCACAGTCACTGGGCAGCCGTCACCAGCAGCAGACACGCGCAGACCAGGAACAGCGCGGCCCCGGCGTGCAGGACGCAGCCGCGGGCCGCCCCGATCAAGCAGGTGCCGACACAAAGGTTGATGTTCCAGGCATTGCGCGCGGGCGGGCGTGGCATTGCGTTTCTGCAGCGGGGAGGCTGCGCTCGCGCACAAACGACCGCTGCCCGGCCGCACCTTCTCGGCCCACTCCATCAGGGGCGCCACCAGCTTGCAGGGGCCGCACCAGACCGCCCAAAAGTCGACGAGCACGGGCTTATCGCTCTGCGGGCGTTGGCAGGGGGCGGGGGCGGCGCGGTCGGGGACCTGCGGCTGCGTTCCCAAATGGTGCTCACAGCACGTCAACCTCTCGCTGCGGAGCGCCGACGCTGTGACCTCCACTACAATGCTTTTAATAGGCGATGAATCAAAATCCACGCATGCATGCATGGCGTGCGCCATCGAGGTGCTTTTGTGGGCAGCATTGCCTTGCAGTAGATGCAGCGATGCAGCGGCTTGCATGCCGCCACACCGTCAGCGGTGCGTAGGGGTGCAATGGGCGGGTCACAATAGCCTATGCCAGTCAAATTCAGCACATACCTTCAGTACATGCTCGTTCCAAGCCTCCTCGCCCTCGATTTCCACGACCCTGGCAATATGCGATGACCGGGTGGGCGCCCTCGCCATGGACGGAGCCCTAAAGTTATTCTTCACACCTGAAGACACCAACGCGGCACGACGAGAGCTCAGGGCCTGCATGGCTGCGGAGACGGTGTGGAAAAGTACGGTGGCAGCTAAGTCGGACAAATGAAGGCTGTTGATTGCACGATGGCGTCGATAAGTAGCTGGATTCAGCACACGTGCAATCGGATAGCTCGCAGAGCTCTGTGCCACGGTCTCGAGAGTCGCAAAAGTGACAAGTGTCTTCCGGAAGTGTGTCCACTGTTAACACTTGACGAAGGCAATTACCGTACGGGATAATGTCAGTTAATGTTGACATATGTAACACAGCAACTCGGGCTGGCTCTCGCCCCAGCCATCCAGCCGCGAACGACCTTGTGGTGCCAACGCCGGTCAAAGTCGGCACGTCTACGCTGGTCTGGGGCAAGTCAGCGTGCCCTTCTTAACGATACCGTCGTTCCTCTGCACCTCGAGTTGAGTGTGTCAATACGAAATCTTGCAGGACACTGGGTCCAGGACAACGCCGGGCGGAGTGTCCGCCCAGGAAAGGGAGTGGGCGGGCTTGCCCGGGTGCCACGCCGGTGGCGGGCAAGGTGAGCCGGCTGCGGCCGGCGGTCAAGGCAGCCTCCCCAGCGGGCCCTTGGTTGAGCACCTGCTTGTGAGGAGTTCAAGGTGGCAGAACTCTTCGACATGGGCTCGCTTCAGCGGCCGAGTGCAGGCCGTGTATATGACGCAGCAGGTGTACCTGACAGGTGGCACCGGGGGTTGAGAGGGTGGCAATATTGGCGAACCGTGGCTTCCATGCGCTGGCGTGGATCGTGGCCTTTTCCCATTATGCTGGTTCCCCTCACGCAAGGCTGCTTGGTGCGCCCTTGTTCCCAGTCAGCCAGCAAGGCTAGCTCCAGCTGTGCCTTGCTTGCCATGAATATCACCCAATGCAATCGCAATGCGGACACCAATAAAACACCCCTTGTTTTCTGGTTTGCAGTGTTGTGTAGTCCAGCCTGCGCACACAAATCCTGCAGCTGTACCTGGGAACTACACGCGTGGTGGCGGGCCGCGCATGCGGGTACAACTTGACGCCTGGAGGTAGCGCTTGCTCCACAGCTCTCCGCTTTGCTTGGGAGTTTGCGATGGCCATGAGTGCACCTGCTGTCCTCGCAGACACACGCACCGCCATCACGTGTGACAGGCCCAAATGCTAAATGGAATTTTGGATGCCTTCTGCTGCGGCTGACATGGGCTGTGCGTCCCGCTATCTTTTTGGTACGCTGACACCAGGGCATGCACTGCTTCACCTTCGTGCTCAGTGCGCAGCGCTTGCTCAGACGTGCCACCTGAAGTCTGTGCTGCAGGTTCGATTTCACCCAGCTCTCTATGCCTCAAAGCGGTCAGCAGGTCAATCAGGACGCGCGCGGTGTGTTACCAGATTGTGTCGTCGCGGTGAAACATAAGCAACAGTAACAACGCTGCCGCGCAGCTCCGCCGCATGAACGCCCCCCGCCTGCTGTCAATACAGCGCAGGCATTGTGAATTTTGCTGCCAAAACTGGTCGGCGCCTCCCGACCCGCTGATGGTTAAAGCTCTGTGATGGCGATTGAACCGGCTGCTGACGTGTTTGCTAAATGTCCACGTCCAAGCCACGCTCCTGCGTCTTCTGCATGCGCTCCAGGCTCTCGCGCTGGGAGTCGCCCAGGCTCACGCCGCCAAACAGCACCTCGTTGGTCGCCTGCCCCTTCCTGCACGTCAGCCGCAGGACGAGGAGAGGCGCGGGCGGGGATCGGGGGTTGGGTTGGCAGGTGTATGCAGTGAGCGACGGCCGCGCAGGATCGCTGGCAGGCGCTTGGCCGACGGCGTGACGCCGCGGTCAACTCCCCGGTCAGCATTCTTGGACTCTCAATAACACCGTTGCCAACCCCCAAAACTCTCACCGGGTGTAGTCAATACCGGCCCGGTCCAGGTTGGGGCAGGGGCGGTAGGCCTTGATGGGCCACCAGCCAAAGCCAGGGACTGCGCCCAGCCCGCCGATGATGCGGCCGTCCTGGTC